TGGTTGTTTTAGTCTGCAGTGTCTCTCATTTTCTTTGATTCTGGTGTGGATGCTTTGTTTTGTGGTTCCAATATATACCTGGCCACAACTGCACGGTATCCGGTATACTCCTGCAGTGGTGAGGGGGTCTCTTCTGTCCTTTGCTGACTGTAACATTTGTTGTATTTTTGTAGTGGGCTTGAATACTGTTTGTAGGTTGTGTTTTTTTTCAAAAGTTTCCCCATGCGGTCCGTGACCCCTTTGATGTATGGCAGAAATACTTTATTGGTGGGTGGCTGTTTTTCTTCTTCACAAGTGCCACAAATAAAGTACGATGCCTCTTTGCTCATTGTTTTCAACTTTAAATATTGTCTTTCACTGTTTTAAGCCAAATTGGGTCCTTTTCAATGAGGAGGGGGGTATTTTAAACAAATAAAATAAATGAAATAGCTACATGTCACTTTTACTGTGACTTTGTAACTTTTCTTGTTACCTTTCCAATTATTGAAAAACCAGCTAGTTATAACCAACTATATTACCAGTACCTAACTAAAAGCTCTGGCGATCACATGTTTTTACTGTGACTTTGTAACTTTTCTTGTTTGAAATTATTGAAAAACTTTTCCAATTATTGAAAAACCAACTACTGTAGTTATAACCAACTGTATTACCAGTACCTAACTGAAAGCTCTGGCGATCACATGTGAATTCCCCCCTCCCTTTCTCACATGGAGAGGTAGAGGTCAAAGTGAACACTGTGCCTGCTGAGCCAGACTGCACTTTCCAGTGAGGCTTTCATGATGCCATTATTCCTGATTCATGGATGGATGGTATGGGGGAAGGAGAGATGGTCTTCTCCCACTCATGCCCCCTGACCTGTTTTCTCACTGCTTTGACCACATTTTTTCATTAATACAAAAGATCCAATAAGAAGAGAGAGAACTGCACAAAGTATTGCCGTTATTAGCATTAGGACTTCTCTGCCCAGCACCCAGACATCATGACAGAGTGCATGATTGGAGGTGTTTTTGAGTGTCAAGCTTCCCCTGTGACCCGACTCTTGCATCCAAGCCCTCAGTGGCTGTACAGGTGCCATTACCTCTGTCTCCTTTCTCTCCCTTGGGTCCAGCCTTTCCCAGTGTTCCAGCAGCACCTCTCTCGCCTGCAGAAAATAAAAGTCATGTAGGAAACACTTTTAAAATATATCTAGACACAGTCTTGACAAGCAATGCAGTGGGTTGGCAAAATGCAAGGAGAACCAGAGAGTGTAGCATAAGATAATGTTGAGGGAAGGAAATTAGGTTTGGGGATTGTATTCTCAGTTTTGGCTCAAGCTTATTAAGATGCTAAAGTCCCTTTTTAAATCCAGAAGAAGGAATTGCTTGGTTGGAGTGGTGAGTGGATCACTGATTTTTTTCCCTGATACTCTTATAGTATACCAGAATTAAAAACAGAATATAGAACAAGCCCTCCCCACAAGGCCAAATTATAGGGATAATCAATGGACCCAAAGTAGATAATCAAATATTGCTTAATCATGTCCTATCAAAAAAGGGGAACAGCAGAATCGCAGACCAATCTCATTTAAGAGGCAGATAGGAAAAAATAGGAATAGAGGGAGAAGCTGTTCCTGGGAGAGGGGAATGACATGCTTCAGATGTCTGTTTTTTGTGGTGCCTTTTTTGTGGAGGGTAAGAGCTTTTATATACTCTTTCCCCCTTCTGTATCTTCCTTAGCCACTTGCACACAAATTATATGGTCTGCTTTTGCCTTCTTCCAAATTGTCATTATTAACCATATACTTAATTGCTTCCTTTATTGATTTTCCTCCTTGAAATCGCTCACATAGCTTCAGTTTCATCCTCCTCCCTTGCCATGTGCCAGTCGCGTGAACTGGTGCCCAATTAGGGATGCAAGCAGCAACCATCCAACTAGCAGCAACCTTCTTCAGCAAATATATCCTTGCACTTAATGTCTACGTAACTGACCAGCAGGGTTCTAATGTGAGTATTTATTTTATTTATTTATTTATTTATTTAATTTATATCCCGCCTATCTGGTCTTCCAACCACTCTAGGCGGAGTAGATGGGAGGCGGAGATTTAACAGAAAGTGTAAGCCTTCAGCATGTCCTTATTCTCCATAGCAATTCTCATATGTACAGTATACTGATATGGCTACAGCAGAAATACACATGTGGTTACCGATAGATAGATAGATAGATAGATAGATAAATAGATAGATAGATAGATAGATAGATAGATAGACAGACAGACAGACAGACAGACAGACAGACAGACAGACAGACAGACAGACAGACAGACAGACAGAGAGACAGACAGACAGACAGACAGATAGATAGATAGATAGATAGATAGATAGATAGATAGATAGATAGATAGATAGATAGATAGATAGATAGATAGATAGATAGATAGATAGATAGATAGATAGATAGATAGATAGATAGATAACCCTCTCTGCTTGCACACACAACTATGTCTGGTCCCACTTGTGTGTGAAAAATCCATTACACTCTTGACTGTATATTATTTCAGAAAAGCCACAATTTTGTTGCTCTAGAAACCTTTTATCTTCAGGAAAGATGTTGACTCTGAATCCTAGTGTTATTATGAAACACAGCAGAGCAACTCCAGGTCTTCATGGAAGGAGAGGCAGAGAGCATCTATCTCACCTGGTGGACCCTGAGGGCCTGGGTCACCCTTAATCCCAGGCAATCCATTGGTCCCTGGCACTCCTGGAATTCCTGGTATCCCTGCCTGGCCTTGGAGAAACACCTTGTCAGCTGCACAGGGCGATAAGCCTTTTAGCTCTGAAACAGGAAGAAGGAACACGAACCAGGAAATAATACAATAAACCTAAGGCAGATTTCTTTAGGAAGTAGCAGATCCTTGCCAAATCAGGGTTGTGGTGGGGGGCTGAGATTCCTGTGTGGTGCCCCAGGTTTAAAAAACCAGAATATTACCTGGACTTTTGGAAGACAGTGGGAGTAGGAAACAATGATATTTATTGGGCTTCCTGGCACCAAAATGCCATTTTAAAGAAATGACTGCTAAAGACCCCCCACACACACACAAGAGGTTTTTTCAGGTGTTAAGCATAGTGTGAAACCTGTGTTTGACTGTCTGTTTTACTGAATGTGCATTTGACAGGGAGCCACAAAAAATCTTGGTTCCCCTAAAGAGCACAGGCATATATTTGAATATTCAGACTCATCTTCCACTTTCCAAACATTAAATGTTGAATAATACATTAGGAAAGTATCTGAAAGTGACCATGTGTGAATTTGACTCCCTTTTAATTTTATACGGGGTTTACTACTGTATAGGGGGAAAATTCTGTCACTGTGGAGAATTTCAATCAATGCAACATTTATGTGCGTGCAACTTGTGCCCCATGACATGCGCAAAGCAGGATCAAGAAAACAGCTGAGATTATGCTACTGAAGTAGCCCACCTATGATCAAAAATAATCAAACCTTTTAAATCTTTTAAATATTTATATTTTTCCATATCTAGAATTTTAAACTTTGCAATGCTCTGCCACAATAAAGAAAGGAAGATCTCCACTGTTTTCAGATTCAGACACATCCCATCCTTGTGATAGCGGTCCCTCGTGCAGCTCTTCTCAGTAACTAAGAATTCTTGGGAGTTTTAGTAAAATGTTGCAACAGGGATTGGAGTTGGGATACTTTGCCCTCCCAAAGTTTCTGGGCTATAACTCTCCTCTGCCAGAGTCAAGCATAGCCATGGGGGTGGTTCAAGAAGTCCCACAGAATCTGGCAAATGACATGTACCCCATACCCTATCCCTGTTCTCCACATATTCAGAAGCAATCCAAGAAAGGACTCATCTCCCTCAATGGTTATGTGCTAAAGACACATTTTCTCATGAAAATGCTGTCTTCCATTGTGGTACATGCTGTCAAATCAGTTTCAGCTTACAGCAAGTCTAGTATGGTTTTGAAGTATGTGAAATATTTAAGAGGTTGTTTTCTGACAGCTCAATAGTTTAGGTATCTGGCTATGGAGCCAGAGGTTGGTTCCCCATTGTGTGGTTTGCAAGTAGAGCCAGCCTGTGTGGCCTTGGGCAAGCTACACAGTCCACAGAAGAAGGGAAGAGTAAACCACTTCTGAGCACTCTCTACCTGAAAAGCCCTGAATAGGGCTGCCGTAAGTCAGAATTGCCTTGATGATGTGCAATGATTATTTTTCCAGCTTCACTCTTCAGTGAGTTTAGACTGGTACATTGTTGTTCTAACAGTGAGAGAAATGTCAGATTTTTTCTTCCTTCCTTCCCTACATACAGCACAAGACACAGGAACCTCATCCTACGGTCTAGTCGCTACCAATCAGAAAGAGGTATTACTTGCCCTTCCTGCCCATTTTCCACTCACGTGCACAACAGGCGGCTTCTGCCTCCTCTCCAAAGCTTTCTCTCTCCATAGATGTGAAAACCAGGAATGTCAGAGCCAGGCGAAAACCATGGCAGGCAGTCATCTTGCTTGGCAAGGTAGACTTACCTCCCCCTCCTAGCCGGGACTGTAAGACCTCTTATATTTATCTGACTTTCTGTTTGCGGCAATTCCAAGTTGCTTTGTAAATAAGGATGTGAGGAAATGCTGAAGTTTCCAGGCGAAGGGGAATGGTGCTTATTATTTCGCAATGCCTGCTTTCACAAGTTTTGGCAAAGCTGACATAACAGTACATATTTTATTAAAAGATAAGGTCCCCTTACAGATCAATGCCTGAAATTCCTGGATTGTGTGGTTCCTGGAAAAATATTGCTGTTTTGCATTGCGTAAGCATTTTCACTTTTTCCACTGTACAGTGGTGCCTTGCAAGATGAATTTAATTTGTTCCGAGGTTAATGTTGTCTTGCGAAAAATTTGGTTTACAAAGGGTTTATTAAGTGCTCTTGCGAGTCATCAACCCCATTGCCAAAACCATTTGTCTTGTGAATTTGTTGTCCTATGAGGCATTTGTCTTGCGAGGCACCACTGTATCATTAGATATTTGGGCTTATTCCTTAGATCTTTGCCAGTAGATACACCCCACTTCACCCCAGTTAGAAACCTATTAGCTCCACCAGCAAATCAGCTCTTGTTCTTTCCCCCCCACCTCATAATTCTTTTCATTCACTCTGGTCTTTCTCTTCCTCCAATGTGTCACTCATTCAGCTTAGACCAGCTTTGACTGAATTAAAAGCCCCTTTACCATTCCACAGTGCTGTCTCACCCCTCTTCCCCCCCCCTTTCTTTCTTGTTCATCTTTGTCTTTCTGTACCCTGGAATTCTCTCAGCATCTTCCAGCTTCACAGAGGTTTCTGCTTGCTAGAGGAAGAAATGACAGTGAAACCTATTTCTCAGGCACCCTGGAGTGATTTCTTGAGAAATGAAACATAAAGACATTCTTGCACCAAGGGTAGGGAGGAGGGCTGTAAAAGCTGTAAATGATGTCTGTCTGCACGAATTAAATCTAGAAGCATACACAAGCACCAGAGGGTACTTCTTCACATTGGTTCCTTCCAAAGGAAAGGTGGGCATGGCTGCTTATGAATCCCCTGAGCATTTGCTGTTAGGATATGCTCTAGTACAGGCCTGCGCTGCAGCAGTTTTCTCTGGGTCCGAAGTTACATTTACATTCTCTACATCTCGTTGTATATTGTTTATGCAATATAGTTAAGAGTAACAATTAAGATCAGTAGATTCATAGATTAATATAAATCAATGTGGAAATATTAGAGTTAGGCTAATATATTCAGAGTCAGGAAGTGATATTAATTTTAAAAAGAGAGTTGCAATACCTCATTTCAGAGTTGGAAAAGGTAAAAATAAAATAAAAAAGTTATGAATCCTTTAAAAGCAGAAAATGATTCACAGAGTTGTATTCCTGAACAAGCAGATATCAAATAAAAATGTCTGTCTCTTTGTTTGTTTTTATTTTCTCCTATCTCAGTGAGTTAGATGTCTAGCTATGGAGCCATAGGTTGGGAATTTGATTCTCCACTATGTCTCCCAAAAGAGCCAGCCTGTGTAGCCTTGGGCATGCTGCACAGTTCCAGGGTGCGTCCAATAAGAAGGGAACAGTAAACCACTGCTGAGTATTTCGCAGCTATAAAACCCTCAAAAAGGATCCTCATACATAGGAATTGATTTTATGCCACATAATTATTACTAATTAGTTTGCGGTAAGACAAACAGATTATCTCGCAACGCTTAAGGAACTCCAACATGAAATAATATGCTGCTAATATCGTCTTAATCACTAAAGGCTAGCAGCACGCCCAGGGCACATGTTGTTGTCTAGTTGTTAAGTCATGTCCAACTCTTTGTGACCACATGGACCAGAGCACTCCAGGCCCTCCTGTCTCCTGGAGTTGGGTCAAATTCATGTTGGTAGCTTCCATGACCCTGTCCATCCATCTCGTCCTCTGTCATCCCCTTCTCCTCTTGCCCTCACACTTTCTCCACATCAGGGTCTTTTCCAGGGAGTCTTCCCTTCTCATGAGATGGCCAAAGTACACCCATATGCCTGTGAAGTATAAGGATGATGGCTACCAAACTGTGCCCATGCCTCCATCCAGTCTGCAAAAATGAAAATAGGTGTGCTGACCTGACTCAAGGTAGTGCTACTGAACTAAGTGTTTTCTTTGCAAGAAAAACACATTTTGATTACTTAAAATGCTCAGCATTATTTGTAGAATCTTCATTTATTTCCCAAGCAATCGAGTGGTGATTCCAGAGGAGAAGGACGTGCCAACAGGATGTTGTCATTGCCCATGGAATGCCCAAATGGGTTCACAATCCTCACATTCTTCCGGAAGGCTCCTTCTGTGCCCCCTGTTATTAGTAATGAGAGAAAACAAGCCTCACAGTGTCCAAATAATGCTCCTCCACCGTATTGTTACTCTGAGAAAGGAAGTGGCTTTCATTGCTGAATGGTCTTGCGGGTAAGTTCTCTCAGCCTAACCATGTGCACAAGTCTTCGCACCTTTGAAAAGGATGCCGTTAACTATTCCGTCCTATACACGTCAACTGAAAAACTGCCCCTGGGATAAGTCGCTGTAGGATGGATTGCAGCACAAAAGACAAAGTGATCCCAAAAGGAGACAGCTATCCCTGCTCCATTCTCTCTCACAGCCTTGAATCGCCCCCCTCCATCTTCTTAATATAGGCCAAAGGGGTTGCCCACCTGAAGAAGAGGATAAAGGCTTTCCTTAAGACACACGTGGGTTCGTGTAGCCTTTATATCCCTTAATACCCTGTTTTCCCAAAAAATAAGTCCTAACCTGAAAATAAGTCCTAGTATGATTTTTCAGGATGCTCATAATATAAGCCCTACCCCCAAAATAAGGCCCAGTTAAGTGAAACCCCACCCTCCACCATTGTGCAGCAACTAAAAGAAGATGACACAACTGTATTTGAATAAATGTAGATTGTTGTACATGAAAAAAAAAATAAAACATCCCCTGAAAATAAGCCCTATGCATTTTTGGGACCAAAAGTTAATGTAAGACCCTGTCTTATTTTCAGGGAAACATGGTAGGTATGTCATGTAGCATGGCAAATTTTAAAAAAATCTGATTTATGTATCTTATTTTCTGTGGGTGTTTACCACACTAATTGACTTGCTAAGTGATTTCCTATATATATATATAAAAACAACACTGGAAAGTGTTATTCCTCATAGGAAATCATTTAAGCAAGTCAATTAGTGCGGTAGATTCTGTGGGTGTGGGTGTATTATGTAAAGGCTGTTGGGTCACTCTACATTTTTAAATCTCAAGACTACAAATATGATGTCGCACATTTATTGTTGTTGTTATTTGCCCTTAGGTTACACCCAATTTATGGATTTTCAAGAAATGTAAGATACTGAAGGAGTAGCCTTAAAATTGCCACTCCCTAAGGAGTTTTCATGGTCAAACATAGGAGTAGCCTTAAAATTGCCACTCCCTAATGAGTTTTCATGGTCAAACAGGGATTTGAACCCAGGTCTCCTGGGTTCTGGTCCATCGCTCTATCAGCTACACCACACCGACTCTCAATGTCACTCACAGAGATGCAGAAATTCATTTTTTCATCTACAAATCCCAGAATACCCCTGCTTAGTTGGGTTGTAACAGCAACTGTAGTCCAGAAATCTAACTTTTCTCACCTGTGGTCACTCACAACAGCTGTGGCTTTTTGCAAAAAGTACTCAAACACTATAGCAAATTTATTTCTTGCAAAGCAATTGGACAGAATAGCAATTGCATGTTTTGCCTCATACCTCAGCTTCCACCAGATACTTATTTTATTTATTTATTTATTTATTTGATTTATACCCCGCCTATCTGGGCTACCAGTCCACTCTAGGTGGCTTCCATACAAAAACAGACAATAAAACACAGATAAATACATGCTGATTCAGTAACAGCTACAATAAAATAAAAAAATAGGAAAGTAAGAAAAAGAAAAGAAAGAAAAAGGAAAAAAAAAGAGTTGGCTGGAGGGAAGGCCTGAATGAACAACCATGTTTTTAATTGGGTTTTAATGTTTCTTTGGTCTTTCACATTCCTTGAACTTCATCTCCCAGAATCCCTAGTCTATGGCCAGAACTTGGGTTAATGTTCAAAACGTCTTGAAGGCTACGGGGCTCAACTGTGAATTAATCAATTTTTTTGTTGATAGCCGTTGTGCACATTGATGGTTATATTCAAACATGTTGACCTGCACCCTTAAAACACACATACTGTAGCTTCTAAAATATGTTCAGGCTTAATGTGGATAGAAACGTTTTATCCTAAACTGTAAAGGATTGCTAATCATTTGAGTTTAAAATATCCTGCCTCAAGAACCATTATTTGCTGTTAACTGTATCAGAAATGTATATGAGAAGCTGTATACTGTATATGTGCTAATTAAGATAATTAAGACTGTGACGAATTTGCCTGCCTCCTACCTCCTGAATGTTGCAGTTTTGTATAGAAAAGGACTTTGCACTTATGTATTTCCCCTTGTCTCCCTACAGTCATAATGAACGAAAAGTGACTTGCAAACATCCGGTGACTGGGCAGCCATCACAAGACAACTGCATTTTTGTTGTGAATGAACAGTAAGTTATTGTTTTGCTCAATAAATGCTGGGATTAATAGCTATTTTCATTAGGGTTGACCATTCAAATATTTCAATTGACCTGCAAACTGACCACATATTGTCTACCTGCAGTCATTTTAGATTGCATCATAGTATGATCTAATAAAGAAACCAAGAATGAGGATTTTTTGTGTGCCTCACCATCAGTCACACCACATATGTGTATCTATGGATCATGGTTCCCTAAGTGCAGTAAAAACAGTCTATGCTTTGTACAAGGTTCTAATATAACTGCTGAATTAATACCTCAAAAATACTTGTCTATTTTTTGACATTTGATCATTTCTAATCAATGATCACTTTCACTTCATATATTTATTAAGGTCCTTTAACCATTGATTCACTGAATGTATTCTGAACATCTTTTTCTCTTGAATTTCAGAGGAAAGAATTGAATTTGGTTTTGTTAATTGCCTACAGCTACTGGGTCTTATATAGATATTTTTAAAAAATAATTTCAGAAATCTGCAACCTAAGCTTTTTAAGATTGAGATCATACTACAGAAATAAATGCTGCGGTTGGTGTTTCTCTTATATCAGTGTGTCTTTTCTTTGTGGGTACAAATGTGTTTGTTTTGCACTATCCTGTTTGTTCCCAGAACAAGGAAATCAATATCCATTTAAACATTAGGGAGTGTGATATTGTGGGTACAATTTTGTTTTGTCCCATCCTGTTTGCTCATACAGTAAGCAAATCAGTTCTGGTGAGAATATGTAAGTGAGGAATTGTTTATCTATTGCATTTGGCTCCCCCCTGCATTTGTCAAAGTTGGATTTACTTGAGTCCAGTGGTTCCCCAGATGTTCTTGGGCTCAAACTCCCAGAAACCTTTACCATAGACTATGCTGGCCAGGATTTCTGGGAGGTGTAGTTCAAGAACATCTGGGAACCCAAGTTTGGGAACCACTGCTTTAGTCCTTTATTGAGAGCCAAAATAATAAGTGTCATCACTAATCCATGTCTGTTTGATTGTTGAGGTGGCTGCTCCAGGATGTAGTGATGACCATCAGCCAGGATGGTTTTACAATTTATGGAGGATAAATGTTCCAG